AATAAAATTTAGCATTAAACTACATGGTAATGGTGACAGAATGTCGCAAATTTGAGGTTCCCAACTTCAACAGTTAGAGAATAAAAAATAAATTAAGATTTTTCAAAAATTATTGTAGTTGTTATGAAAAAGGTTATTTTACTCTGTTAAAAATGCATTTACTGACAATTTCAATGTCATTTTCAGAATCCTCACAAAATTTTAAACAGATATAACACATAATCGTTGGGGTGCGGAAAAATATTCAATTTAAAACTCTTCGTTAAACAAATTATTTTTATATCGACGAAAATGTAAATAACATTCAGCAATTTATTTCTCGGTTGTTGAGTTCCGGCGAGGTTATCAAATATGACTAAAAACTTCCTTATTTAAAGCGCTTTACAATGATGTATAACAACATTTACCTACTGTCAAATCCATGGTGAATTTTACGCACTATTGTGAAAAATCACGGTAAAGCCAAAACAGATATTGTAAAAAATAATAAACTTTTACTTACTATTTTATGAGCTGACCACTGATGATGAGGGTGTGTATAATTTATGATTGACCAGACTACACTTCCATCAAACTAAAGAGTTTTTTTTAAGACTTTGGAAAATTTGTAATTAAAAAACACAACACATTAGTAAAAAATACAATACACACTTTAATTTAAATATGAAAGGATAGTTAACACATTAAACAAATCAATGACATACTTTGTCCGAAGCACAAATCACAGTTTGGGTGTAAAGTGCCCACCGTTTTCCCGCAAGCAGGCCCTAGCTCTTTTGCGGATTGCGCCAACTGTGACCTCATACGTCAATTTTTCCCTTACTTTCCCAGCAGCCTCAAAGATTCTCTCCCGTAACTCAACTTCAGAGTTTACAACAGTTGAGTAAACTAGACTTTTCATGTAACCCCAAACAAAAAAATCTAACGGGCTCAAGTCTGGAGATCGAGGAGGCCATGTCACACTTCCTCCACGTCCAATCCATGTCGGGTAGTTTTGGGATAGCCACAACCGAACGCTTTCAGTAAAATGTGGTGGAGCACCATCCTGCTGAAATATGATTTCAGCTCTTAGTTGAGGATCAATTTCATCCAACAACTGAGGTAGAGAGTGCTGAAGAAAATCTAGATATAAATCACCGTTCAGATTTCCTTCGAAGATATGAGGACCAATTAACCGATCTCCAATCACACCTGCCCACACGTTGATCCCAAACCTTTTTTGAAAAGAAGCTTCTCTGGAGGCTTTAGGATTTTCATTATTCCAAAGATGCATGTTGTGAATATTTATCACACCTTCTCTGGTAAAACGGGATTCGTCAGTCCATAGTATTTTTTTAAGGAAGTGATATTCAACAATATCACGTTGAAGAAGCCAGCGGCAGAACTCCTTTCTGGATTCGAAGTCACGAGGCTCCAATCCTTGGACCTTTGTAAAATGATACGGATGGAAGTTATTGCTCTTTAACACTTTATGTACTTTCCACCGGGACATACTAGTTTCAAGGGCAAGCTGCCTAACACTAGTAGTAGGATTATCCATAACTCTCTGAATTACACCCTCTTCAGCTGCAACATCATGCACAGGTCCTACTTCTTTCTTTTTCTTCTCAACCGATCCTGTTTCCAGCAAACGTTGATGCACTCTAGTAAACACCTGAGTACTGGGGGTGGTGCGATCAGGATACCGATTCTGGTACTCTCTCTGAGCAGCCGACGCATTACCGTTACACAAACCATAAACAAAATGCATTTCAACATACTCCCGAATCGAAAAAGACATAGTTGACCGATCACTGTCCACATATGACTGATAGATCTTTTTTAAATATGACTACTGGTTCGCTTTGTTTTCTTATCGCTTGGATAATGTTATCAGTAAAATACCTGAATCTATTGACTAAATCCATTCAACAAGATAGAAATTCCGGGAGATAATTTAAACTTTATATGAAAAATATACGATTACCGTAACTTTATCACAAAAACATTTTACTACTATGTTTCTTTTCTTAGCTTGGTAGTTATAAACAAAGCGTTGCATGCGAGAAAAAAATCAAATTATTTGTTGCCTGCACTTAAATGTATTATTCTTCACAATAGATTTTCTTTGCCCGACCATGTTTTTTCACAATAATGATCGAATTACATTAGGAAATTTGAAATACGGTAAAAACTATTATACACCATTGTAAAGCGCTTTAAATAAGGAAGTTTTTAGTCATATTTGATAACCTCGCCGGAACTCAACAACCGAGAAATAAATTGCTGAATGTTATTTACATTTTCGTCGATATAAAAATAATTTGTTTTATGAAGAATTTTAAATTGAATATTTTTCCGCACCCCAACGATTATGTGTTATATCTGTTTAAAATTTTGTGAGGATTCTGAAAATGACATTGAAATTGACAGTAAGTGCATTTTTAACAGAGTAAAATAACCTTTTTCATAACAACTACAATAATTTTTGAAAAATCTTAATTTATTTTTTATTCTCTAACTGTTGAAGTTGGGAACCTCAAATTTGCGACATTCTGTCACCATTACCATGTAGTTTAATGCTAAATTTTATTTAACACTTATGACCGGACACCCTGTATATATTTATTCGTTATTAAAAATAATATATTATTTACATTAGAGGCCTAAATTTTAATATTCCAGCTTGTGAATGCCCCCAAAAAATACCAAAACCTTGTCATACATGCTATCGGCTAACAAGGTTTTCAAAAAAAAAAACTACTTGTAAATATTCTGTAATAGTTTGTTCTTCCTCGATATTTTGGCATAAAAAAATTACTTTGCAATAAAAGAATTTCCAGGGGTGTTTTTATTCAAACCTGGTTTAATTATGTTTCATTTTCCAAACGGATGTTGAATAGTGAATTGTTGATTGAAAATCACTTACAGACTGATGAGGCCTGGCAACTATGGTTTTTCAGGCTATTTTTGTATTGAAACATGTGTTTGTATTATTTAACAAACATTGTCGACACTATCCATCAAGAATAGTAACAAATAGAGTTTTCTAATCTGATTGCGTCCTCATTTGAGAAAGTACCAAAAGTATAATAAGATAGGCTCTTAAATACAGCTAAAGCTAAAAAATCACTATAAAACTAAGATTAAGTCTGCAATAATTTCTTAAATAAACTGACCTTCTACAATAATTAACTTTAAACTAGCAAAATATGTTTGCCTAGATGCAAGGAACAAATTAAAAAAAGGCAGTTCCGGGAAACCATGTATAATTTGTATGACAACAAAACTACTGAATTTAAATTCAGAATCTCAGATCAAATTAAACTTTTCATATTCCCTTGATGCTCGGCTAACTCACATAACCATGTGTCATCAAATTGTGTTTCGAAGACCACTAAAAATATCCTAGTGACAAAAATATTTTCTTTTAAACGTGAAAAATTTTTACTGCAAGAAATAAATATTCAAAAGATATTTACTGTTCATTCACAATTTAATTTCATAAATATTCAATCAACAAACATACGTGTGAACCATTAAGCCACATCGGCATCTTATAAATCCTTACTTTGAAGGCAAAAACTTATTAAGGGAATGTGTATTAGCGTCTGACCGGTGCTTTAGTACACAATGCGTTGTGCTTTATTATTACACACAATGAGCACAATAGCCTCCAAGTCTCAGACACAATACCTTTGCACCATGGATGATAAATATTAAACACAATATTACCTCACACAAAAGCTCTTTTTCCGTTAGTTGAACTTTGTTACAGTAGATTACGTGATTTTTTGTTTCACTAAATTTTTTTGCATTTCACGCTTGTGGTTGTGTTTCGAGAAAATAAGTAGGGATTTTGTAAAACTCCCCAAAAAGAGTGCAAGTGAAATTTAAAACTTCACCACAAAACCAAAACACCAAAACTTATGTATAATTATTTATTTCTCAGTATCTTTATTTAATTAATGGTCTCTTAAATGTGTTAAAATCTATTTCTCCTTTACGTAACAGTCCATTACTTGGTCAAAACATAATGGTATGGAACTCTAAACATGGCACATCTTTGCACTGTCACAAAATGAGAAATCTACGCATGTCATTTAATGTTAATTTTATCAGAATAATTTGGCCATGAATTGAATATTGTTCAACTTTTTATCATTGAGCTTAAAACGTTTATTTTGTTTACCATTGAGAATGACTTAGTCATCATAAATAATTAGTTGTTCATATACACTGCTGTATATCTTTTACCAAATATAACTGTAAAATATTAGTTTTCATTATAATTCTTTACATATTAATATTACCTGAACCAAGGTTTTGCCGTTGCTATAAGTTGTCTATTAGATCATTAGAATAAAAATTCATAATTTAATTTCTTGTATTCTCGACTTTCCACTGATCCACTCACTTAAATAATACTCATCTCCCTTTAAATATCAAAGCTTTATAAATTTTTCCGCTTTGAAACTAATGAATTTTCATGAAATGTACTAAGTATTTACCTTCTAGGTCACTTGTTTTTGTCGGTCCCTTGCATATACCCCATCCAAGTTACCCAGTATGATTATTTTACCTGGTCCTCATTTTTAAGTAGTACAGTATGATGTTTATTTTTATATTATTGATGTTTTCTACGCTGGTGGAATTTTTTACAGGAGAAATTGAGTACAGTGTTATTAATTGAGTACGCTTTTAGGGCAAGTGGTGCAAACCCATTTTTGGTGGATAGCCGGGAATTTAACCCGTCCCTGAAGTCCTGAGAAGCAAATCACCATGCTACCAACACCCAAAATGTACAACGTGCCAATATTTTAGTGTCAAGCTAATAGGAGAAAATATTTGTCGGTTTGCTGATACAGTTGATTTATTTTATCACCACTACCGACTGACCTACTGACCCACCTAAGTTTAAACCCTCCCTCAAATATCACAACGTAATAAATTTCATCATTCTTTGTGTTGTGTTTCTTTGCTTGGATTTGTTTTATATTTTATTTTATTTTTTGTTTCAGGGTGCGCTGGGGTCCCGCAGGCGGCCGCGGCGCTACGCCCATATCAAAGAAGGACTGCCTTTCAGTGAACATAGTCTACTCTATGCGTAAGCATCTTTAAGTAAATCTTTCCAACCACGCCTTTCGATATTACGAATATGTCTATTTATTTTTAATTTTGTACGTTAGTTTATGATTCAAGAGGAGCTTATGAAAATAAAAATAAGTCTCCTCATTCAACACTATGAGTTGTCTCTACCAAAATCGTAAAAATTCTTGAAAGTCAAGAATTTTCTCTTGTGATTAACCAACTACCAACCACTAAATCCATGTTAAAATTTAAACTCTGGCAGAATTATTTTGTTTTATTTGCACAAGTACATTTTGAAAGCTTAACAATTCTCTGATTTCCTTTTGCATTTTTTATCCTATATACTTTTTTTCATATATATCCTTGTTCTTAATGAAGTTTCAGAAAGATTTATAATATTTTGCCGGGTTATACAAAGTGATACCAATGATTATTTAAAAATAAATAAAAAGGAACTACAGAGTTGTTGTCAAATTTCCTTCCAATCAAATCTGTTAAAGCAGAAGGTATAATTAAACTATTGTTTTTGGCAATAAATATAATCAATTTTGCATTACTATTATATTTAATCGCTTTTAGGCTGTAGCTATTAACTGATAACCTCTTTTATCCAGTTGAGTCGAATAACCCTATTTGATGCAACTGGATCAAAGAGGTTGTCAGTGAATACGTTATATATTCAATGGTTCCAAACATATAACGAAACATGGTAACCATGTTAAATATAAATCGCTATTTCATGTTATATAACAATGTCTGGATGTTGATCGAAACATCACAGGCAAACTATAGAATTAATAAACTTCTGACCCGTAGTAAACTATTCTCACACTATTTTGTATTCCACATAAGTAGAAATGAAATTTGTGCATGAACAGATACATTTGTACATTGTTAAATAGAGCACCAATTCACTCGCAGTTTCCTTAAGCACCAATCGATAAGAGAAAGGCGAAAGTGTTTCTAATAGTTACATGATTATTTGCTTAAATCGCAGCCACACGATAGCCTTTGTATTCAAAACAATTACCTGAAATAAATCAAAGCCAAATCGTTCACAAACACGCTCAAGCTTATTGACCTTGGTGTCTTCTTAACATGCACTATTCGTGCAAACTTGATTTACAGAAACTAGTTTCAAAGGCTGGCAAATAAAAAGGTCACAAATTCTTAGCAAGAATCAATTTAGCTTCTTAGATAATGTTTAAACTGAAAGTGTGAATAATTATTTTCTTAATATTCAAAGAGCAACTCCTTTTGGTGTTGATCGCAAGAAGTTAATGTGTATGTGTCTTAATTTTAAATTTATAATTGGGTAACTCTTGTTTTTAGTAATTTTAGAATAACTCTATAGGAAATAAAATGTTCTTGGTTTCAATTTAAAATATACTTATTAAATATCTCACATTCTTCTCAATAACTATTCGTTATTACAATCCTAATTTATCTATTCAGGAGGAGTACAGTATAGCAGTGTGTTTATTTATTGATTTGGCAAATAAAACGCATGTGTTTTATTCCAATGCATGGGTGCGAGGTTTGCTGGTGAATGGCAGTGATTGGACCAAATTGGCTAACATTGAAAGTGGATCGCTCTCATTGTACCTAACTTTGGTAATTTATACGAACTCTCTGCCTCGTGTAGAATGTAGCATATTTACCAATATACAATAAGAATAGATTCGGTTTAATTCCTACTTTTAAATTGAAAAATTTCTTATTTTACAATATTTTATGTAAGAAGATTTCGTAATATAATGTTTCTTAGTAAGTCAAATACTAGTGGAATGTGCTTTTGGGTGTTAATTCAGAGAAAAATGTAGTAGTCCATTTTAAATAGAGCTATGATTGTTTATTCCTACATCTACATGTAAACAAATTATTATGAGGTTAACTTGTAGTGAAATTTACAGGCACAACTGGCAGAAAATTAATTTTGTTGCAATGATTGAGTCATCAATACATGTTTATTACAATGGTATAAAAATATGCGTTTCATTTACCAGCATTCAATAAATTTTACCTATCAAAAAATTGTTTAAATGCAAAAAGTCAAAACTTTTTTAAGATTTACTTACTCCCTAGTAGCACAAATATATATTAAATACATATCAATAAATATATTTAAAATCTATTTTATATATCTCAAGTGTGTATTAATGTCAATTTTATATAATATTTAAAATATATTATATACATATAAAATATGTTTTTGAATCTATTAAATATTAAAAAAATATGTTCCAATAATATATTTTAGTGAATAATATTTAAATAAAAAATGTATTTAATATCTCTTCTAAACATCTCATGAGGCCTAAACATAAAAACATAAAATAATGAAGATTTAGTATGAAAAACACAATTATCAGTTGAGTAAATTGATTAAATAGTTAATAAAAACAAATTTTGAAAAAATTACTGGATAAAATATGTTTGACCCGGGTGGGTCTCGAACCTGGGTCCCTCGACTTGTGAGCCTCTTACCTTACCTCTGAGCTACTTGTGACTGTTGCTAGCATTTGTTTTAAAATGGTGAAAGAGCGGCCGTCAGTTGCAATGCTTGCAATACTTGAAAATTTTTTGATACAACAGTATAATATGATTCTGTTAATCTGTTTTTCCGTAATTCGTTTCTTAAACGGTCACCAGTCGCTAGCACCCTTTTCTAGCCAATCATTAGAGATTTCTATGATCACATTCATTGTCACATATTGCAATTTAAAAAATAAAACCCATCAACACTTTTTTCTCTTTTGACCCAAATGTAGCTGCCGAACATGTATACTGCCTCTTAACCATATGCGTAATTTTTTCTTTACGTGCATGATAGAGTGACACCATTCAGAGTACGTATTATTATTAACTTAATTTTAACGCTTTCATAATAGCAATTATCATATAAAAAATGCATGTATAAATTGATAGACACTATAAAAAACAAAAAGATGCAAATTATTTATTTGCTAATTACAAAAGATTATAGGCTATAGCCTATATTCTACAAATATATTATTATTTTATTAATAAAAATAAATGACGTGTTTCAAAATGTATTTATAAATACTTTAAATATATAATATAGTTTCAAAAATATTTTATATATATATTTAAAATATTCTTAACACATAATTTTTTAAAATATTTAATAGGAAAAATATACATATAAAATATTTATATTATACATTCTATACTTATTTGATCAATATTATATTATGAATCTATTTTATATATTCAAAACTTATATTTAATTTATATTTTGCATTGCTTTTTGGTAATATTTTAAATATATATTTGAATATATCAAACTGTTATTAAAGATATATTATTTATATATTCTATTCGAGGTTCTATCAAATACAACTTTAAATGTATAAAATATTTATAAAATACATATTTGTGCTACTAGGGCTATCGTAATCATCAAACTAAATATTAAAGAATCAATTGAAAAATTTGTATTTAGTTTTTTTTTTATTTAACAAAATCATGATTAAATATTGGAAAAAACAAACCCAAAGGTACATAGACGTGTTTCAAACAACAAAGTCACACAAAACATAACTTACTGAAGATGTTCTTCTGTGCATACTAACTGTTTCATTTTCACTTCATTAATTTACCTCATATTTACTTACCTTATTAACCAATCTCCCTGTTAAAGGAGGTGTTAGCTGCTACGAAGCTGGCCGCCATGAATTTGATCAACATGGACGCGGAGAACCGCGTCGTCCTAAACGTCGGGGGCATCCGCCACGAGACATACAAGGCGACGCTCAAGAAGATCCCGGCGACGCGGCTGTCCAGGCTGACGGAGGCGCTCGCCAACTACGACCCCATCCTCAACGAGTACTTCTTCGACCGCCACCCTGGAGTCTTCGCCCAGGTCCTCAACTACTACAGGTTAGTGTGTACATATCACTGTAGGATGTGTAGGTTAGATGTATCGCCAACTACGACCCCATCCTCAACGAGTACTTCTTCGACCGCCACCCTGGAGTCTTCGCCCAGGTCCTCAACTACTACAGGTTAGTGTGTTACAACTCAATCTAGGATGTGTAGATTAGATGTATCGCCAACTTCGGCCCAAGTCTTTGCCAAGGATTCTCAACTACTATAGGTTAGTGTGTACATCTCATTGTAGGATATGTAGGTTCGCTATCTACGACCAAAGTCTTCACCAAGGTCCTTAACTACTATAGGTTAGTGGGTACATACCTACTGTAAGATATGTAGTTTAGATACCTCGACAACTACGACTCAAGTCTTCACCTAAGTCCTAGACCACATCAGGTTAGTTTGCTGCACCTCCCTGTACAATATAGTGTGTTACATCAGTCTGTTGGATTTGTAGGTCAACTAGTTCCAACTACAACCCCAATTTAGTTAGATCTTCTATGATCGTAGCCCTGAAGTACACAGGATAATAAAGATCTAGCCCTCTACGCCCCTATCTTCAACAAGTACCTTTTCAATAACCCTGGAGAGTCATCTAGGCTGCGAATTCTTACTAATGCGTTCAAACTCAAGATTAAACTAGAAAGTTTATTCTGAAAGAATCTATCTACTTTGACCCCATATTTAAGTCTCAAAAATCACCACCCCACTCTTAAGTAGTAGTTTAAGCTTTTGAGCACTTAAATTTTGCTTCTAACTCTTAGTTTATGCTCACAACTTAGGACTTTACTTCAACGCCACAAAAATGGATTCAGCTTATTACTAAATGCGTTGGATCTGTGACTGGTAGTGCTGAATTACCTACTGTGCAATATAACAAATATAGCCAAGTCAATAGTATAGTTAAATACTAATGTATTAGTACATAATCATAGACAATACTTATATTGGGATCTATGTTACACTACATGACCATTGTTGAGGAAGTTTTTTTACCTAGTTTGATATATTTTTTGTGTGCGTTTGATATACTTAGTTATCATAAGGTTTATAGTTTACGTTTTTTTTCCAAGACCATATTGTGGTTAGAATTATAATAATTAATATACTCAGCATATAATATTTTTTTTATTCGAATCGTAAAATGTAAGCACATCGTATAACAAAATTAATTAAATGCGAAATTTCACTACGAAGGACATCCTTCTCTTTCAATAGTACCTAATTAGTTTTATCAATTCACAATTAGAAAGCCTTTTCATAAGCAGAATAGTATGTTTAAATATTATTCTAATAACGCTGGTTACGATTTAAATTTGTTACACAATTACTTTTGTCAATGTTAATTATTGTAGCCATGTTTTAAATTGGAAAGTTTCCTAGAAATTTAATTTGTATTATACTCGTTTTTAATTACAAAAACACAAAAAGGGCCTATCGACAGTTCTTGTGACAATTAATTGTTCATTGATTCAATTTAAAATGTATTTATTCACAATATTCGGTGGAAAATGACGAATTCATGTTTACAAAACTTCTCGTTGAAATCCACTTGATACTCAGAATGATGAATAACGATTGAAATATTGATTTCGTTTTCAAAAATATTTTAACTTTCCAACTTTATTAAAATATATGGTAGTCACATACCTAAAACAAACATTCAACATACCTAAACAACATTTTTAAAGCAAATTTCCTACTTATAATCCAATTTCAGTACAAAATTATCAGCGCCGAAAAACTTTATTGTATAAAATTATATGCATTGCTGTATTTTATTATTTTAGCACTATCTTTGTTTATTTTCAGTGAGTAAATTGTTGATATAGCAGTGTCAGCATAACAATAAAATGATTTAATCAAATCGCTACTCAGGTAAATTAAAAAAAAAAACTGTTTGGTTAATTTCTATTATTTTTTCACTTGGGCTAATGAAAAAAGTTGTTGAACAATAGTATTTTATAATTTTATAAATCGCTGTTTTGTCTGTTTGGAATTTTAAGGAGCACGACTAAGTATACCACCCCCGTGCAATGTGTACAATCGTATTAAACTGTTGATAATCTTTGTGACAAGCTTAAACTTAACAGAGTGTTTGATTCCATGGTTTACATTATTTAGATCAAGTGTTGACTATTATTTTGCTTGTTATTGCTGCTTGAATACAAGATGAAAACTATGTAAAGAAAATGTATAATTCATTTCATAACATAAGAAAACTGTATTATCATTACAAGTACAAGTACAAATTTAAACAAGATACGGTTTTCCATAATTTGACGAGAATAATTAAGAGAGATTGTGAACTTTTTGGTAGAAAGTTGAAAAAATGACAATGCATAAGGAAAAGGTACAAATTTTCTCATAATATCACCGCTTATTATCTAACCCCATTTCGCTAGATGGTATTACATAATAGAAACCCCTAACAGTGTTGTGAGACGAGAACAAGAGTCCACGAAAACATTGGGTTAACAACTGTGAGCACAATGCTTCTGTGAAGATGACGTCTTGGAAATGAGAAATCTTATTATAATCATACAGCATTGCAATCTCTTTGTAATGTGTCGGCCATTGTGCTTAAGGACGGATCGTCACCAGACTAATGCAGCAAACTTTTTGTAATCTTCATTATAAGTTTTTATTTATTTTGCATTTAAATATCCTCTGTCAAACAAACCTAGACTTCTTCTCGAACTTAAAAAACTATCTTGATCCGGCAAAACCTAATTTTTGGGCATAGGTACGAAATATACTATAGCAAATACGAATTGTTTTTGGTTGAGGGGTAGCTGAGAAACTAAAAGAAAACTCTAAAAAAACAAAAAAAAATTATAATTGTGACTGTATAAAAAATTCATTGTCTCTATTTACGTTGGTAAATTTGATTTCAATCTCATTAAATTATATATTTTATCCATAACAATAAAGACATAAAAAAACTATTTATATTTGCATATGAACTCAAATAATTGTAAATTTCAGAGACTTTTTTGACACTAATATCTTTGTTTATTGCTTATCTTAAAAACAAATAACCTTACCTTGTTAAATAACAACAACCTAGCAGTGGCATTATTTTTGGTCTTCTTATATTCAATGTTTTTATTTTATTTATTTTATTACTACTTATTTATTTATTTATTAAGATTATTGATTTATTTTTATCTTTTATTATTCTTATTATTTTTATTTTATTATATTTTTCCAATCTTTTTATATTCAGGGATTTTATTTTCAATCTTTCTCATAATGACTCTGGTGATTTCAAGCTCTGACTTAATTCCTTAACATAAGTTAAATGTTAATAACATGTCTTGCACTATAAAGGGCCTTTAAATCTAAGCTATACCGTATAGACTATATTTTTCAACCAAACTAAAAATTACTAATGTATTTGTTTTTAAAATGTACACATCACATACAAAAAATGTATTACTTATGTGTTTAAAAAAAAACTTGCTACAATTTTAGTAAGCTTTATTATAAACAATATGATTGGGTCGTTAAATAAGTTTTTTGGTCTAAACGTCATTATAAGTTCTTAATAGACTTTGGACAATTCTCTTAAGGCTAAAAAAAACTTGAAGCTATGGATTGATGATTATTTTAATTTGTTTTCTTATTGCCTAAAATGCGGTCTGGATTTTTTTCATTGAGATCAACATGTTCTCTGTAACTGTCCTGTATCAATCTTACAGTTATTTATCATCGCAACCAATTACTACAATTCCTCTATCAATATTAAATCTCTTGACGTAACCATTTTCTGCCAGAACTTTTGCAGGTTTTTAGGGTTGCGTAAATACAGGGCAGGGCACGTTTCTAATAAAGGTAAACTTTTTATTGTAGACCTTTCTTCTTAAAACGTTATGGCTTATTCTTTTATGACAAAAGACGCAGCAGGAAGTAAAGTAACAACTCTGACCCAGAATGTGAAAAAAGTATAGTATGATCATTATATATATATATATATATATATATATATATATTTTTACACCTACTTATGACGCAAAACAGATATTTATTTATCAACGTTCAATTTTGATAAACATTAAATTGATAAAATAACTTTTTAATTTGCTTACATTTTTCGTTAACTTTGTTTGTGGGTGGGTTTGCTGGCAATATTTTACATATTGAACCTAATTTAGTTTTATTTAACAAGTTTAAATAAAGTTTAATTTAGCAAGTTTTATTTAGTTTTGTTCTATACCTGCCAATACACTGTAACTTTATATGAAGTATGTTTAAGTTCTCTAAACATTTTTTGGGAAGTAATGGGTGAAAAAGTTTACTTAATAACTACATCTTGCCATACATAAATAAATTATTTAAAAACCCCTATTTTTAAAATGCTGTATTCTAAAGAAGAACACTAGGAGTGACGAGTGTAACAACCGAATCTAAATACTGTTTACATGACTTGTACACAAACTTGTTTAAATGTTTATATAACTATTGCAATTTAAAAACGATCAATTGATGATTCAAAAATATCCGATCAACAACAACCATGCTAGTCAGCCATCCATAAATTATAAAAGTTCGTAGTTTAATTCATAATAAGAATAAAAATTAAAACTGAAAGTAGGCCTACCATTAACAATATAAAGTATTCATGCTGAGGATGTATTGACAACGAATGACGTATCACTGTGGTTCTACTTCAATAACATCAGCTGGTTGTGATTAGGTCTGCAGCATGTTTTATGTTGGAAGCGTATGCGATGTCTCCTGTGTCCTTGAATAAATAAAAACTAACCTCGCAGTAATATTGTACCCAGACTTTACATTTACATTCGAGTTTTCCCTGAAACTGTAGGCCTAATTGCGGTTTCATCTCAAAGTATTAGCCTACATAAGTTGTTGACTATTTGTTATCTAATACAATTTTTATAGGTAGTTGGATCGTTAAGTTAATTTATTGGATCTTCTATTTTCTTTTTAAGAAGCTTTGTGTTATAAGCTAAATAGAGACTGGTCAGTGCTGGCTTAAAAGA